GGGACGACTGAAGCTTTGGTTTTAAAAGCTAAGCGATTTCACTCAAACCAAATGGAAGAACAAAAATCTAGCTAACCGTTTAAAAAGTTATGATGAAGTACTCTAAAACGATTTCACTAATGTCGCAGACAATATGAAACGGATATTTTATTGCAAAGTTAAGACATTTTGTGAATAGACATTTTAGATGCTTGATGTACTCTAGAAACAAATTTCAATTCAAAATTTAATGAAGCAGTCTCCATTCTCACCGACTCGTGTAATGAAATTTTTCCCGAATTAAGCGAATGTTTTATATCGCTTTTTCGTTCACTAAGGAGCATGATAGTAACTGGTTGACCTATTCGTGTCGTTTCAGCACTGCTTTCGAGCTCCATGAATTTTCAACCATTACAAATTAATTTTTCAAAAGCCGACGCTTTTAATAGTCTTCGAGCACTTTGCTAAACCAATGTCTGTTGTCGAATCCTCAGAATGGTCGAAGAAAATGATACCAATCCATTAGTAAATCGTGTCACTGATTGCGTTAATTTGAACGCCAATTATTTTCAATTATTATTATTATTAATCGAGAAATTCTCGTGATCACAACTTTGTCAACTGAATTTCCAGTGAGTTTGTATACCCCAGGGTATAGCTAAGCAGAGGGTAGGTAATTTATGAGAAAAAGTAGGAGGTATTCCCCTTTTTCTTTGGTGCTGAACACATACTGCTGCCCTTCAAATCAATCATTTCAATGGGCTTGCAATGAATCCGACAATAGCACTTGCAGGCGCGTCTTTTCTGTCACTCTTATCATGCTTAGGACATAAATGACTGAATATGGCACAATGGAATTCCTTATTGATCACTGTGCCAGGGAAAAAGGATCCAATTGATAGTGCAAAAACACCGTCTTCTTTTTTGTCAAAAACTCAGGTGTTTTGATGAACTTATCGCTCCACTCTTATTCCCCCTAATTGTCTTAATATGTGGATGTATGGTATTAGAGACGGGAATTCACGTTCTGGCTGTTTAAGTCCATATAGCTTGATTAAACAGAAGTTACCATTGGTCAATTTTAATGATCTTGCCTTATTCGTGAATGACTGAAAGCCTGATTTTTAATTCTACAGATTAAGAGACCAAGGCGAAAGAAGGTGATATGTTCTTTGTTAAAGTTTGGCTACGAGACCTATCAATCTACTTGTATATTTTGAACTTTTGTGATATAGGTAACGAACGTTTTCTTTCCAAAAGTACACATTCATAGCCATAAGCAACAAGCCCCAATTTGTTTTCAAGGACATATCATTGAATATACACAGTTTAGCCTTGAAAACATCTTCAATTACAAATGTATGCTAACATGGGATCTTAAATCTTATCGACACAACAAAGTAAAGTTCAACTTAAAATACAGAACAAATGCATACAATCTTTTTTGTGAAACAAGTTTCCCAGGCGGTCCTATTTTTTCCATTATATGCAATCATGTCTATCGCTGTAGTAACCTGATCTAAGTGAATAGGCAGGACTATTGATTAGTGTCTGGCTGCAAGGTCTTTGTACTCACTATCGCACTACTCCATACTAGATAAGTAGACCGAAGGCACCTTCGAGTTTGTTTGGGTGCGCATGACTTTTTTTGTTCACCCACGCCGCGGTTGTGCAGTCCACAATACTCCGATTATAGAGATACCAAACGTCCAATAATCAGTTGATGTCCTTATCGGCTAGTCGCTAAGGTGTGTGTTTTTGGTTGGAATTAGTGTCAAATCAAATGTAAGAGGAAGGGAATCATCATTTTTTCATAAAATAGGAACGTTATGACTCAAAAGTACAATCAAGACTTTTGACAGTCATGACCAGGAAAGAGGGACGACTGAAGCTTTGGTTTTAAAAGTTAGGGGATTTTACTCAAACCAAAAGGAAGAACAAAAATTTAGCTAACCGTTTAAAATTTAATGAAGCAGTCTCGATTCTCTCTGACTCCTGTAGTAAAACTTTCCCGAATTGATTGCATACTTTATATCCCTTGCCTTAGGGATTAGAGAGCATGATAGTAACTGGTTGACCTAATCGTGCCGTTTCAACACTACTTTCGAGTTCCATGAGTTTTCAACCATTATGAATGATTATATGAAAAGTCGAATTTTTACTTGTCTTCAAGCACTTTGTTAAATCGAAGTCTGTTTTTGAATCCGGTGAACGATCGGAGAAAATCGTGTCACTGATTGCGTTAATCTGAACGAAAATTATTTGTAGCAGCTTGAAAAAAGAGAAGTTCTCGTCGTGACCACAACTTCGTAAATCGAGTTAACAATGAATTCGTTTCCTCACGAATATAGCTAAGTAGAGGGTAGATAACAAAGTGAAACAGTAAGAGATGCTTCGGTTTTGCTTTGGAGCTGAACACATACTGCTGCCCTTCAAAACGATCATTTCGATGGGCTTGCAATGAATCCGACAATAGCACTTGCAGGCGCGTCCTTTCTACCGCACTTATCATACTTAGGGCAAAGATGACTGGATATGGCACATTGAAATTCCTTATTGATCACTGTGTCAGGAAAAATGGATACGATTGCTAGCTTGAGAGCACCATTTTCATACTTTTCCAAAAATTTATCACGCGTGTTCATGAACTTCTCGGATCACTCTTATTCCCCCTAATTAGAGACAGGAATTCACGATTTCGCTTATCAAATAGAAGATGTTATTACTCATTTTTAATGATCTTGACTTGTCTCGTGTTTGCAATTCTTACAATGATTTTAGTGGACATAAAATAAAAAAATAGCTTTTACATAAGGGTGTGTGCAACGTTGACAATTAGACGTATTTGCTATTTCAGATGGGACGAAGAAAATTTTGCAAAATGATATACTTTTTTAAATTTTAAATAAATCAAGTTGTCGAATATTTAGAAGTCAGAATGTAAGCTTACAGGAAAAGGCCCTAGTGGTAGTTTCACCAGCAAGTAATTTGAGTTGTCAAACTGTACATTATCAGCTTTCAGAAGCTTGTCATCGTGTTGGTAACACTATAAGACTGATGGGGTATGCGATAGACTTACCTCTACGTGGTGCAGCCTGGGCAACGTATACTCATACGACAAAAAGTCTATTAATCGGCAGTTGACTTCTGACTTCAAATTACCATGACCTCACCTTATGTCATAGTCGACCACTTCTGCAGTACTTACCTAACCCTACTCCCTACCATTGTGTCTGCCTCTTTTACATCTGCAAATCACTCTTCGGTCCACCCTCTTGAATTTTTCTAACTTTGATGTTTCTCCCCTCTGTGAAGTTCGAAGTCAGCTAAGGGCTAATGATAACTATCAAAATGCCTGTCATTCGAAATAAATAAGTAAATATACGCCTGATTTATATTCTTTCACGTCCCAATGACACAAACAGATAAGGCTTGTTTACAGATTTAGAGACATCTAACTGGCGATTTGCCAGTATTTAAAAACATGAAAGGTTCTCAAAGGTAGCATCAATTACTCGTTCGTTTGGTGCGACTTCTATAGTGTTTGTGTTACCAGTAGCCTATTTATTTAAGCCACTTTATAACCGGTGAAACAATAAATTGACAACTTACTATATAACATGGTTGGAGTGAAATTGCTGCTGTCTCATGTTCTGGCCCTCATACAGTTTTTGCTTCCCCAGTCCCTCCTCTCCCGATATAAACTGGTCGTCTGCTCCCTCACCCCCAATAATCACTAATTTTAGAAGCACAAGAATTTATGTACATTTAGAAAAATATATTCTCCACAAATACCTTAAAACAAATTTATTTAGTTGGGTTAACATAAGTTATCACTACATCATCGGTCGAGGGGGATACGGAGACCGAAGTATGCGATAAAAACCCTGTTTTCTGAATAACTCTTCCAAGTAGCAGTCACACAAAGTGCCTAGACAATTAGCAATAGTCTCGCGTATTAGCTCAGACGAGATTTCTTCATTCAAACCTTATTGCTTCACTTGGGAGCAGGGTGCCGTCTGGTCAATTGGAGGTATGAGGGCACCAAGGTCTTTGTTATTGGTTGCTATGACAGGCATTCTTGCGAGGAACCGCCTTACTCCATACTTCATATCAACTTCAAATCTCTCCTCCAAAAAGGCACTTATAATCATTCTTTGCCGCAATTGTAACCCTTGGTTCCTCCATCAGGGAAACTGCGATTGAGCAAGTTGTAGAAATGAAAGGCGGTCAGATCACCACGACACACCGTTCCAATCTATAAAAGGCGCAAAGATGAGGATAAGCGTTTTGTATGCAAAAAACAACAAAATGAGCACTCAAAGCGCAGTGTAACCAAGATTGGCTAGCGGTGTTTTACCAGTGATGGTTTGGCCTAGGAAACACAGTGTATTATTCTGGCTGCTTTTTTGTCCATGATTTGGAAAAAGTAGCCTAGAAGGTTGCCAATGTCGACACTATTTACGTTCAGCACCACTACCAATCAGCTAGCACCCAACTCAATATCTTCACGATCATTCACATGGCAATCAGGTGGCTGTTTGTAGAAGTTTTGCAGGTAGGTATTAGTCGTCTTCTTTGCAATCGATCATTATTTACCATTCGTATCTGCTGCCTATCAATCTCACCCCATTGTTGAATTCATGAAGGTGTTTGCGTCAGCTATATATTTAAGAAAAACTTCGTCAAAGGTTCTTACATGGCGAATGCATAGTTTTTCCAGGTGATTGAAGTACTTCTGCATTCTATAGTCTTTCTTCGAATTTCTTGAGGTTTGAATTCACATACGCCTATTGGCCGACGACAGGAGACATGACGTGAAGTTTCCAATCTTCCCGAATTTTTTACGAGAACATTTGCGAGAACAACTTTCACTTCCCCTCTGGCCTTGGAGTACTAAAATATAAAACTCAGGTTTCTCACCAACTGACGCTTGCCTTTCACTTGAAATAGCTCGCTTGGCGCTACAGGGCACATATAGACATCTCATATTTGAGAGCACTTTTCAATATTTTCGAATTACTAATGTATGGTGACGTCCAATATGAGGTGGATTAACTCCTGGTTCAAAGAGAATGCTGTCATTAAATGAGATATGGAATACTGTAAAATGAAGCTAGGAGATTTCTGATATTGCGATCCCACCATCACTGTGTCTCCTGATCGCAATCGTCGATTCCAACAACCAATGAACCAAAAACGGAGCCAATAATTCCCGACGTCCAACCTAAGAGAATGCGAAAACCTGACGATGTAATGCACTCATATGATTTACATGAAAAGGTGGAAAATGTAGCCTTTTAAACAATTAGAAGAAACGACCAATCACTGATAACCAATCAGATTACGAATGGAAAATACGTGGAAGAAGTGTGAAGCAAACCGAACCACCGAACCGCGGTAAAGACCTATTACTACTCCAATATATCGTGGCGAACCGAACCGCTCGCCCACGCAATCCACTAGGGGCTCGAGGATTGGCTAAATGATGAGTCGATGCATATTCACGATCATAGGTGTGCGTATACACAGGGTGAGCGGTTGGGAGGTGGAGAGAACAGTCGTTTCAGGTAAAATTATTTTATTATTACATTATATTATTAATATAAAATTGTATTATATTATTTTGAAATGACTAATGAATAACTGTAAAACTTATGTATGTAGGCCAAAAACAATAAGTGCCAAAATACTAAGCACATAGGAATTTTTGGCCATAAAAATAATTTTTTTACTATTTAAAAAAGTGTACTAGGTCATTTTATCATACCTTAAAGATGATGGCCATACTGTGTTATCAGTGAGGGGCGTGCGTGTTAAGTGGGACGGAAAGCAAAGATTCCGACTGAATGCTTCTCAGTTAGAATCCCAACCCCAAACATGCAACGATACACTACTATGGCCTGGGACATGGGTAGGCATCGTTGGATTGTTCACCCAGCAATGGCGAAGGTGAGGTGGGTTTAGACCGTGGTGAGTGAACTATGGCTTACCCTGATGATGGCCATACTGTGTTATCAGTGAGGGGCGTGCGTGTTAAGTGGGACGGAAAGCAAAGATTCCGACTGAATGCTTCTCAGTTAGAATCCCAACCCCAAACATGCAACGATAG